AATTTCCTGCTAGTTTTCAGGGACAGACACAGTTATTTGTCTGGGTTCAGTCTTAAAATATCATTATGACACTGCTTGCATTGTGGTCTGCAGGCCTAATGTTGTACTTGGAGAAGACCATATCTGGAATATATCTTTTAAAGTATATATTTATTATATAGTTATGTACTATATTAATACAGTTGAAGTCAGAATTATTAGCCCCCCTGTTTATTTTTTTCCCCTAATTTTTTCAGCTGACATTTAAAGGCTTAACTAAGTTAATTAGGATAACTAGGCAGGTTAGAGTAATTAGGCAAGTTATTGTATAGTGATGGTTTGTTCTGTAGACTACCGAAATAAAATATAGCTTAAAGGGGCTAATAATTTTGACCTTAAAATGGTGACTAAAAAATTAAAAACTGCTATTATTCTATCCGAAATAAAACAAAGAAGACTTTCACCCGAAGAAAAAAAATATTATCAGACTTACTGTGAAAATTTCCTTGCTCTGGTAAACATCATTTGGGAAATATTTAAAAAAAAAAAATAAAAATATGGGGTTTAATAATTCTGACTTCAACTGTATATAAATGTCATATATAAAAGAATACAGGTTAAATAATGTAGTATATTGTTGTATAGTAGCAAAAAAAAGCTTTGTGGTCACACTTTACTATAAGGTTTCATTAGTTATTGTATTTACTAAAATGAACTAATTATGAACAATATTTGTACAGCATTTATTTATCATAGTTTAGCATTTACTAACGCATTATTAACATTCAAATTCATGTTTATTTGCATACAAACTTATTGTAAAGTTACATGCTTAACTTTATTTGTTAATGTGTGTGTGTCTGTGTGTGTGTATGTGTATATATATATATATATATATATATATATATATATATATATATGTATATATATATATGTATATATATATATATGTATATATATATATATGTATATATATATATATGTACTAGGGATGCAACAATACAGTTATCTATAGGCAATATAGGCAATACAGTTATAGCTATAGGCAATAGGAGCAGTAAGAGGTTAAGGAGCAAAAAAAACTAAAAACGATTTATTGCAGTACTCATTTTGTTTTACTTAAAAGCCAAGAAAAGTAAACTAGTTCCTAGTGTATTGTATAAAAAAAAATGAATACTGCAATCTCACGGCTGCTGATAGCCCATATCCAAATTGGACAACACACAAATTCCTACATTTTGAAAAAAAAAACATACATGTGAAGATAATAAACATAAATTGGCCATTTCAAATAAACATATTTGTACATACACAGGGTGTCTGCGGGGTCTTAAAATGTATTAAAAATTAATAAACCATTTTAGAGAAATTTAAGGCCCTTAAAAAGTCATATATTCATAAGTCATATACATGGTCTTAAGTTTTGGATTATGCCTTTAATAGGCCAGTTCTGGGGTGCTATGTAGTTTAAAATCAATATAAAAGCAATAAAAAATCTCTCTAGATTTAACATCACGTTGCTTTGTTTACTCTATATTGGCGTTACACTTTTCACCATTCAAATTGTGCGAGTGATCTTTGTCTACAGGGGCCACCTGCTGCATTAGCTTTTTTTATTCATCATACTGTATAAATAATGTTTATTACAATCAGTATTTTGTAAACATACTGCAAGTTAAAATGTCGTCAATGTTACCAGATGAAACCTAAAGTGGCGATGAGGTTTTAAAATGTATGGAAAGTGTCTTAAAAGGTATTGAATTTCACTCTGATTCCTGTATATACCCTGATATATTTACTACCACTATGTAGCAATTGAATAATTTTTTCCACTCTATTCAGGTGGAGTGTCATCCATATCTGACTCAAGATAAGCTGATCAGCTACTGTCAATCCAAAGGCATTACAGTCACTGCATACAGTCCTCTGGGTTCTCCAGACAGACCCTGGTAGGCACATGATGATGATTATTACCACACAATGACACCTTAAAGCATGTGGCGTTTTATTTGCTGTGAATGATCAAGGTGCGGATTGTGACTTTGTATATGGTTTTAATGAATAACATTGGTCCTCGTCTTACATTCAGGGCTAAACCTGAAGACCCCTCACTCCTTGATGACCCAAACATCAAGGCCATTGCAGAGAAGCACAAGAAGACAACCGCCCAGGTAATAAAAGACACCTGCCCTACAGTAGTTCTCATGGCAGAGCCTAGGATTGATTCATAGAGGAATAATTGTTTGCCATCCACATACAGGTGCTCATCCGCTTTCAAATTCAGCGGAACGTGATCGTCATCCCCAAGTCAATCACACCTCAGCGCATTCAAGAGAACTTCCAGGTGACTTTTATTATATTAGTGGCCTGGAGAATTTTTTATAGTTCTTAAAACATTTGGTGGAAATGCCCACTTTTTGGCTGGGAATGATTTTAGTTCTAGGAATGCCATTTGAGGGAACTAATAAGCTCCGACTTGATCAGCTAATTCATACCATACCTTTCAACATTAGGATGTGAAAATAAGGAATATGCCCACCATAATAAGGGACATTTCCCTTGATATTTTCCCTTGCTTTTCTAATTTTTTATACTAATTTAGGACAAAATTAGTTGTGTTTGGAAAAACCCACACCAAGATCAACATCTATAGATGTTACTATTATTAATTATGTGTATATGTCTGTTCAAACACGCACCCAAAACCCAGACTTTTACTCTGCTTCACATCGCAAGTACAGAATCTGTTTGGGAAACAGCATCTATTTATCACTATAGAGTGCGCCAGTTGTCTGTCACGCGCCGCTATATGACTGCTTTAAGGATGGGCGACGGCACCTGTAATGAAAAGGGAAGGGAATCCCACCGTTTTTATATTTATTTCAAAGTGTTTTTATCCCTAAATAAAATTAAAGCACAGAACAGAGTCGCATTTAAGAGCAAGGGCGGCCCCAAGTGGTATGGGTTGTGTATAGGGAGGATTGGCTCTTCAATGTTTATTGCCACTCTGTAAAGAAAGACTGAAAATACGGGAGAAATACGGGAAAATACCTTTACGGGAGGGGAGAATCCTGGGAAAAATGGGAGGGTTGTTGGGTATGATTCATACTTGAGGTCTACTATAGCCCAATTGGAACTACTATGATGTAAATGCACACTTGGTGAATACATCACACATGAAACACAGGCACAATGTTACAAAACACATCCAGAATGCTATTCATAGCTACTATTTTTAAAGGGATAGTTGACCCAAAACTGAAAATTCCTGTCATTGACTCACCCTTTACAAACCTGTTTAGACAGACATTTTTGAAGAAAGCTGGACTCATTTATTTCTATTGTATTTGTGTTTTTCCTTTTATGAATGTCAATAGTTACCATCTTTTCCTTAATGTATTTTTTGTGTTTAACATAAATAAGAAACTCAAAGTGTTGGAATTATTTGAGGGTAAGCAAATTTTCCTTTTTGGGTGAACTATCCCTTTAATCAGATTTTATGAAATGCATCACGATAAGATATCATAGGCAATTAAGTCCTCATCAGTTTAAAATTCCTAATTGAAGTGCAATTGCAAGCAGGAGGAAATTTGATTTTTGGAAATCAAGCCTGGTGGTTAGTTCTAATGCGTTCCTATAACTTTCTGCTGTAGAGGTCACTGTAGTTATAATTCTTTCTTTTTTTCTGCATCCAAAGGTCTTTGATTTTGAACTGAGCGAGCAGGACATGAAGACCATTTTGAGCTTTAACAGGAACTTCAGGGCTTGTCCAATGCATTGGTGAGTACCAGTTTACGTTTTTAATTAGATTATTTTGGTCCTTACCAAGAAAGGAAAATTAGTCATGACTTGTATGTTTAGATGTGTTTGGTTTGTGTAAATAGTTCAGTTGAACCTCACTATTTGATAACCAACAAAAACTCATCTTTCAGCACTCTTCTTGTTTGTTTTTTTGGTGTGCACCAAGAGTCAGATTTGGTGGCATTAAAAATAAAATAAAAAAGTTTTGGTTTATTCTAATAATTTGCTGTTAGTGTGAAAAAAAATCAAGTAAAGGGCATATATACTATATAATAAAAAGTCAAACTAAATTATTTTCATTTGTTATATATTTTTGAGTACATTAAACGTATTTTCTTCAGTTAGAACAATATTTTTTTATTCATTTTTTCTCTCCACATCTTCCAATACAGGGGTGTGAAGCACAGAGACTACCCATTTAATGCAGAGTATTAAAAGAAGACCTCTCAAAACATGTTCGTTGATGGACAAACAAAGTTCTTAAAAATGTTCCCATTGGTTATTATAAAATGTTCTTTTGTTTTATTTATGAAACCTACAGTATAGTTACTGTCAAACTTTCTGTTACCTAGAAGCGTCTTTAAAGTTCATCCCTGAAATGTGGTTGTAATGTTTAGAATATAAAGCAAACAGCACTTAAACATCAAATTATTACAACAAAATTATTTGATGATTATCTCGAAAAATGATTATCTCAAAATGTTACAAGTGTGCACGTGGAAATGTAGCAATCCAGTGTCACACAGCATTAATCAACCCTGTTAAAAAGAGAATCTTATGCACTAGTCTATTGTTTTTACCAGTCTCACAAACTTTGCACGATTGGTCAATACAGGAAAGCATTGGTCCTGAGGATTTTGTTTTTAAATATGACTTAACGCACTCCTTTTTTCATGATGTGACAACAAAAGCACTTCCAGTTCGCAAGAGCGGCTCTTGTTTACTGTATTGATGTATGCTTTGAAAAACCAAATAAAGCTTTACATCAAACAGCTCTCCGTCTTATCACTTTACAAGCTTTTTAACAACTTGCTTGCCCTTTACTTTACAACTGAACATATTTAGGCCCTCAAATGGCTGGAATCATATTTAATGCACATAGCATATAAAATACAACAAACAATAAGCTCATTTCTGTCATCAAATAAAGGTAAAAAAAACACACAAGCACAGAAGCAACCCCCTCACCCCAAGAATTAGAGTTCAGACTTTAGTTATTCATTTAGAGCGTATACCTTTACTCTAAATTAAAGATTTGCCATAAAATAATACATGTGACATTGAAAACTCCCAAGTGCCTTTGTCCTACATCCTGTATATCCTATGGCAGAAATGGGCTTCCGGAGCAAACGGCCTTAGTATTCAGCATTCAGTGGAAAATCTTTATGTTTTGAAGCCCTGCAATAAAAGGAGGTAATTAGTTCGCCTTCTAGAAGCTTAATACTACACAAAAGGCTACAAAGGTCATTGTGTGTTTGCGTAACAGTGACTCACCATTCCAGCCCGAAAGCCCTAAAATTCCTGTTAAAACTCAATATGGTGTTCATCTCTTCTTTACTTAACTCGAAATCAAAGACCTGCAGGAAAAACAACAGCTTAATCTTGACAATACTAAGCATATATTGAGTATTTCTGGTTTCATTATGTTGTATAACTGCACAGCGCAAAGCAATACCTCAAAATTCTCCTTGATTCGAGAGGGAGTTACAGATTTGGGAATGACCACAACATTCCTCTGAATGTGAAAGTGGATTAAGACCTAAAAACAAAAACAAAGTCATCATATGACGAAGGGAAAATAGCATGTAAGATTATATTCAGCTGACGGTTATGACACTACTTCAAGGTTCATGAATGTGGAAGCGTGGACTTGGTGTTTCATAACTAATAATAAAAAAAAGAGGTGTAAGTTTACACGTACTGTACCTGAGCTGTGGTTTTACCATGCTTATCTGCAATGGCCTTGATCTTTGGGTCCTCCAGTAGTGAAGGCTCATCTGCCTGTGCCCTACAGTAAATCACATCTATGTTTAATGATGTATAGGCTGATATATGGTGTTGTAGGGCTGCACGATATTGGAAAAATCCAATATTTTCACTAGGTTTGTTGAATAGGTCACACTTTACAATAAGGTTCATTAGTTAATGTTAATGAATGAATTTACTAACATGAACAAACAATGAACAATACATCTACTACTGTATTTTTTCATGTTAGTTAACGTTAGTTAATGAAAATACAGTAGTTCATTGTTCATGTTAACTCATGGTGCATTAACTAATGTTAACATGCATGGACTTGGATGCTAATAATGCATTAGTAAATGTGCAATTATGATGTATAAATGCTGTACATGTGTTTATGTTAGTAAATGCATTGGGGTGATTCTGTAGGGGAGTTCATATGTATAAAATATAAGAAACCATTAAAAAAAAAGATATCAATTAAATAATCAGCGTTTTATTGTTTTCAGAGGAGTCAAACTGTATTCGGGTATATAGTAACTGAATAATCAAATGTAAAATGATACCTCATAGTCTTCGTTTGATAAACAAATCAATAAAATGAATCGTTATTCATTTGTCAAAGTTACAAACGGTACAATTTCTTCAGCCTGAATGCTTTTGAAACCTTCCTGAATGCTTTTGAAACCCTCGCATAAAAACACTTGCAAAATTGTAAGTTATAATCCAGACTCAACATTGTGTATACTGGCGATAAGACTATTGCGTATCAATCGATATCGATGATGAAACGATATATTGTGCAGCCCTATGGTGTAGATTCTAAAGCGAAGGATGAGAAGTGTCATTTTTTTTGTTCGCGTCAAATAAACTTGACAGAAGTGATTTTTATATGCAATAAAAGCTTTTGAAATACAGGGTGTAAAGTTTCTAAGTTTTATTCTTTTTAATTTGCTTGAAATGATGTTCCTTTAGCAGTCAGATCATCATATATTTACATAAATGAAACTAAATACTTCTGACTGTAGCTATTTAAAAAAATCACCTTGGAATTATAAGGTTCGATCTGTGTTCTGAATGATTTTGAGATATTGAGCTTCAAAGTTTTTGCATTCCATAGCAAAGAGTATGTGTGTAACATTAGTTATTTTTTTTAAATGAAAAGTCGTAAAATGTAAACAACTTTAAAAAAAACATCTCATAATGTAAATAAGTGGTCATTCAATAAGAATATGTCAATATCTCAGTTTTGACAATGTCAGATAGAACCTGATAATTCTAAGGTGATGAAATATTAGATGAGTAATGCAGTCAATTGTATTCTATTTTAATTTGTAAGAAGCTTCTTGCTGATGAATGTGTTAAAGTGGTTTGAAGGACAATGACAGCATAAAGATTTCAAATGACAATTAATTAGTATTTTGGGGCTGCACTGAGATCTTAAAATACAGTTTTTTTTAATATGTCATCAAATGACACTTATCTAAATATGCCTGACCTTCTGTTTTTAATATAAAAAGAGGTTGTAAAATACTCACCATGGTCTGTTTGGTGAACCCAGAGGACTGTACGCCGTGACTGTTATGCCTTTGGACTGACAGTAGTTTATAAGCTTCTCCTGGGTCAGATATGGATGACACTCAATCTAGAAATAAAAATACAATTATTTCAAGTATTTTCAGAAGAGAACTGATGGCCCTGTTTCACAAACAAGACATGGCTTAAGCTAGAAATAAAATAGTTAAATTAGGGCAAGTACTTAAGCAGCTTTTATAAAATCGCCTCAGAAAAACCTCGTTAATTGTGTGCATCTTAAGACAAAACATATGTGTTGTCAGTTTATTCAATAACTAGTCTAAAGCCTTCTCTGTGAACCTTGGGCTTTAAGTCGTCATCTGTTTCATTTTCTTAAAATGTGTTTGAGAATAAAATGAATGAATGTACCTGATTGTTGGCAGGTTTGTATTTGAGCCCTGGTTTATTCAGGATTGCCTCAATCTGATCCCGGTTAAAGTTTGAGATGCCGATGGCTTTAACCAACCCAGCGTCCACCAACTCCTCCATTGCCTTTGTGAAAATGAAGCAACAATTGTCAAATGTAATTCTGACATGATCATTACTGTAATCTCAATTATTCTACTGTTTATTACCTCCCATGTTTCGAGAAAGTTGCTGTTGTCTGGAATCACATGGCCATCCTTATCCAGTGGGAAAAGATCCTTTCCAGGCTACACAGATGAACAAAAATAAGTGTAATCATAATATAAATGGTGTTTTTTTATTTTTAATTAAAGCAATAACAGCCTTAAATTGAATAATAATTCAATTTCATTTAGAGAAGACGCCCACTGAAATTCAGTGAAACGACCAAAAACCTTGTCGTCATCTTAAATCAAGAACTATTTAATGACTTATAAATGACTCTAAGATCACAGTGCTACCCATACTTACAAATTAATAATCATTTTAAATGTATTACCTTTCTTTAACACTGTTTAAGAGATTTATCAGCAAGGAGCTTATGCATATACAGTTGAAACCAGAAGTTTAAATACACTCTAAACAAGGAAGATAACCAATTAAAAAAAAAAATGTCTGATGGTAAATCATACTAAACATTTACTATTTTAAGTTCGTTAGGATTACATAAATGATTTACATTTGCTAAATGCCAGAATAATGAGAGAATTTTTTATTAATTTCTATACAGTCAAAAGTTTACAAACATTTCCTTGGTATTTTTTAGCTTTGCTTTTAAACTATAACTTTGCTCAAATGATTTGGGTATCCTTCCACAAGCTTCTCACAATAGTTTACAGGAATTTTGGCCCATTCCTCCTGACAGAGTTGGTCTGAGTCAGATTTGTTGGCTGTCTTGCTCGCACAAGCTTTTTCAACTCTGCCCACAAATTTTCTATAGGATTGAGATCAGGGCTTTGTGATGGCCACTCCAAAACATTCACTCTGTTGTCCTTAAAGCACATTTTAACTAATTTGGCAGTATGCTTAGGGTCATGGTCTGTTTGGAGGCCCATTTGTGGCCAAGTCTTAATATCCTGGCTGATGTCTTGAGATGCTGCTTCAGTATTTCGACATAATGTTCTTTCTTCATGATGACATCTATGCTGTGAAGTGGACCAGTCCCTCCTCCAGCAAAACAGCCCCACAACATATGCTGCCGCCCCCCTACTTCACAGTTGGGATTGTGTTCCTAGGCTTGTAAGCTTTCCCCTTTGTCCTCCTAATGTAGCACTGGTCATTATGACCAAACAGTTCAATCTTAGTTCCATCAGACTACAAAACATGTCTCCAAAAATGAGTTCTTTTCCCAGTGTAATTTAGCAAATTGTAATCTGGCTTTTTTGTTGATTCTGGCTTGTTGATTATCCTATGTTGTCACACAAGGAAGCAGTGTATTTGAGGTTTTCCTTAAATACTGTTCTACAGTTGTGCATTCAGTTAACTTAAATGTTGTCAGTTAGCCAATCAGAAACTTCCAAAACCTTGACATCATCATCTGAGCTTTTTCAGAGGCATGATAATCTTATTGTATGTAAACTTTCGACTTTGAAAGAAGTTATAACAATTTCTCAAACAAAATATCTCTCATTATTCTGCTATTAAGCATAACAGAAACAAACTAACCTTAAAGAGAAAAAGTTTTGTCACATTAACATCTGACTTAAAAAAAAAATGGTTATATGCCTTTTTATAGAGTTGTATGTAAACTCTTGCTTTCAACTGTATGTGCCAGTTTTAAAGATCATCAAATGTAATTTATAAAAGAGGTTGTGTATACATTTAAAGATTATTAACTGCAAGTAGAGTGTCTGCTTTAATGTTTCAAATAGCTTATTAAATATCATGTCCGTTCAGCATAACAGATGTATTTGTGTAAAGATTAAACAACATACATGTTAAACTATATGAAACCATATGTGATTATAGCATTGAACAACTGTGTTATATTGTATAACTTGCTGACTGATGGGTGAATCCTAATGGCTAGAATTAAAAGTTATTCATTACAACTAATACGTCATCAAATGATTATGTTTCTAAATGTGCTTGAGAGCAGAAAATATCACCAATTCTTCTTAAATCCTACCTTAGTGCCCATGGGAAAGTGCATGAGGTAGAGATCAACATAGTCCAGCTTAAGATCACTCAGGGTTTTTTCACAGGCTCCTCGGACCAAGTGTTTCTCGTGGAAAGTGCACCACAGCTTCAAAAGACACACAGATAGGTTTATTGTTTTATGGCATGTTCTGTATTATTTATTACCATGTTATACCAGTGACATACGCTTCAGTAATTGTTAGTTGGGGCGTGACGTAACAGTGTATTACAGCACACAGTGATACATGTGTCTTATCTGTGTCGTGGTTGTAGGCTGTGTGAAATGCACACTGGCACATGACACTGGCCTCCAGTCATGTGGCTCGCATGCACTTTTTCGTCACGTTCTGGTACCTTGCTGACTATGAAAAGGTCCTTTCTCTTCACCACTCCTTGGTTAATCATGGCACAGATGCCGTCCCCAACTTCATTCTCGTTTTCATAGACGTGGGCTCCGTCGATGTGCCGGTAGCCGGACAGGATGGCAGATTTCACCGCCTCTGTGACTTCACCTGGAGGAGACTGGAGGAGGAGGTTTCAAAACTGGGTTATTAAAGCAATTGTTGGGAAATATGTCAACAATTGAGAAGAATGACATTAATTAAAACATTTTTTCGGAAAAAAATACTAGTCTTTATGGCAAGATATTGCAGGAGATTAAGATGGAATTATAAGTATTATTATTTTAAATGTTTAAATATGCACATGAGGTGTTGTTTAATTCAAACATGTGCTTCTTTACACTTCTAAAAGCCTGAACATTGGAAGAAATTAGGTTTAATATAATAAATTATTTTTATATATATTTAAATATGCACATTATTTGTTGTTTAATGCAAACATGTGCAACTTTACACTTCTAAAAGTCTGAACTTTGAAAGAAATCAGGTTTAATATAATAAATTATTATAATGTTTAAATATGCACATGAGGTGTTGTTTAATTTAAACATGTGCTACTTTACACTTTTAAAAGCCTGAACATTAAAAGAAATCAGGTTTAATATAATATTTTTTATTATAAATGTGTAAATATGCACATTATTTGTTGTTTAATTCAAACATGTGCTACTTTACAATTCTAAAAGTCTGAACTTTGGAAGAAATCAGGTTTAATATAATGTAGTTAGACAAATCAGCTATGAACGTTCTACTGTAAAAACCTTCAGATATGAAACTGTATAAAAAGTGGAGATTTATGAAAATAAAAACACAAATATCTCAGTTTTTTTGCCTGTTGTGTCTTTGGGTATACAATAAATGCTGCATTAATATAATATAATATAATCAAAACCATTTACAATGAAACTAGGCTACTATATTGAACGATTGTACTCACCCTCCATGTTCCCAGTCCAACAATGGGCATCTTAGCTCCATTATTGAGAGTTACAGATGTCATAGTGAGGTGTATTTTTAAATCTGATATTAGATATCTAATTCATAAGCACTTGCTCAAATCTGCAGCTTCTCTCTCTTTACAGCAGCCTGAGCTTCTGTATTTATTGCCTCTGCTCGTATGTGGATTTGATTGGCCAGGCCTGGAAACACCCCGTAGATGGAAGGAGGAGCAGCAATTCCATTTTATTCCAACCCCAGCATGCTTTGAGATGATTCTGGTTAAACATGTGAACGTGATACGGACAAAATAATAATAATAATAATAAAAAAAACATAAATAAACAATATCACAACAATAAAACTACATCATTACAAATACATTTGCATTCAATTTGTGCAGTACACTAATCGAGTTTAATGATTAATTGTAGCTAAAATAAATAATTTAAATGTTTTTTTTTTATAGTTTTAACAGTTTTAATGTTGTTTAAATAGTTTAATAATTATATGTAAGTAAATTACTTTTGTTTAAATTTAGACAGTTTTACGATTGTCTTTGATTTTTACAACTCGAAGGACAATTATAGCAAAATAGTATTAAAGCATCAGTGTTTGTTATTTTATAGAGTAAAACGCTTGATTTATTTTTATTTAAACAGTTTGAGATATTTATAATACTAATAATAACAAAAAAAACTAAATATTTTGTTCTTTCCTACTTTCTTCCTATCGTAAGTATTTTATTATTATTATATTTTTTGAAAGATAACATATATTACATCGATAACAATTATTGCAACAGTTGTTTGTATAGTTTTATTTTATTTTTACTGCGGACGTACGCAAGAAGCTTTTATTTTGAAACTCATTTTGACTGTAGTCAGAGCCGTTTTCACATGATTGTCGGGACTAAAATCCAAAACAAAGTGATTAATAATTTAGTTGTTTTGCGTGGTAAATCCACTAACAAATAATCTAACAATATTAGTGTTTTAAACAAGCTATTCAGGAGATATGCAGAGCACCTCTAGACTTTAAGCACAGCAGTTAAATGCCTACATCATGGACAATAAAATCTCCCAACAAGAGCACTTTGGTGAGAAAAATACTGCTCGTGTTTGTCATTTATAAACATTTTATTTTGCAGATATTAGAAGTTGAAATATTCATATGCCTTCTATGAACTGTTATGCATTTGATTATTTTCAGTGAAATCTCAATCATGCTAACTGATCTTGTGTGCATTATATATTATGCTTATGAATTTATTTTGATGATGGTTTAAATCCAGTTAAACACAAAATAAGAAAATTTTTTCTTTATATTCCATAGATGATAAAACCTCAAACACACCTGGACCAAGTGAAGGGTGAGTAAATTATTTTCATTTTTTTGGGGTGAACTATCCCTTAAAAAGGCTTTGACACTAACCTCCAGGCAGATTTCCTTTGCTCTTGACCTCTCAGTGCCTCTTCTGCACTTCTTTTTCAATCTTCATATGGATTATTGTACTGCAGAAGTATTTGATGAATCATGGGATGCCAGTAGATTTTGTTTTATTGGTGTCAGAAGAGTTCAACTCATTTTTGTGACAGTGGACACAAAAACTTAAGCTTTTAAGTTGCACAAGTATATTTTTTGTAAAGAATAAAACCAATACAAGCAGTCAAAATGATCAATTTTTCCTTTATTCCAAAAACAAATAAAATTAAAGAGGAAGTAAAGATCATGCTCCAAGACGACATTATGTAAATGTCCTATCATAAACATGTAAAACTTAATTTTTGATTATTAATATATCTTGATTTGAATGTAGACAACTTTAAAGGAAATCTTCTCAAAATATCTTGATTTCTTTGAACCCACAGATTCCAGATGATGAATAGATGGCCAAATATTGCCACATCATAACAAACATACATCAATAGAAAGCGTATTTCCAAAATTATGGCAGGTTTTGTGGTCCAGGGTCACATTTTGACATAAAAGTTAATTTGTATAATATCGGGGATATAATATATTACAAAAAGTAATATTTTATAAAATCTTACAGATTCAGAACAACTTAAATGAGGAATGAAAGACAATCATTTAGTAACTCATGCCTATGATACATATTCCTTAATACGTTTATAAGTATGAGCAATAAGAAATGTACATCATGGCGAGTTGCATTCCACCTTGTTTTTTGGACACACTCAGGAGTGCACAATATAAACCAATGTAAATCTTCACAGAAAAAGCAGACCGATATATAATAAAGTCTTTTGAAAGACATCTTACAATTACTAATGAAAGGCACTAACATGTAGATACCTCTATGAATGTTATATGTGACTGAGAAGCTGAAAATATCCATTGCACAATATTCTGTCTCTAGTGCTGAAGTAGAGCTTGAGAAGCCGAGCACAGATGCAGAAGAAGCGGATCAAACAAAGGAATCAGCTCATAATGCAGAGGATGCAGATCAAATAAATGAATCAGCTCAACCGTAAGTGAACTTATTAATGAACTGCAACAAGAAAACATTTCCATGCAAACTTTTTTTCTTAATTTGTAGTGCGAGAGCTTAGAGTTTATTGCCGATAAGTATAAATACAGTTGAAGTCAGAATTATTAGCCCCCCTGTTAATCCCCCCCCCCCCCCCCCAATTTCTGCTTAACGGAGAGAAGATTTTTTTTCAAAACATTTCTAAACATAATAGTTTTAATAACTCATTACTAATAACTGATTTATTTTATCTTTGCCATGATGAAAGTAAATAATATTTGACTAGATATTCTTCAAGACACTTCTATACAGCTTAAAGTGACATTTAAAGACTTCACTTGGTTAATTAGGGTAACTAGGCAGGTTAGGATAATTAGGCAAGTTATTGTATAATGGTGGTTTGTTCTGTAGACTATCAAAAAAAATAAAAATAGCTTAAAGGGGCTAATAATTTTGACCTTAAAATGGTTCATAAAAAATAAAAATGCTTTTATTCTAGCCAAAATAAAACAAATAAGACAAAAAATAAGAAAAAAAAGACAAATAAGAAGAAAAAATATTATTAGACATACTGTGAAAATTTAGCTGCTCTGTTGAACGCTATATAGGAAATATTTACAAAAAGAAAAAATTATTCAAAGGGGGGCTAATAATTCTGACTTCAACTGTATATAGATCCAGGTTCCTGTGTCCTATCAACTCAGAATGCTTTGCGCTGTGATAATTGCCTTTCAACCTACAACAGTTGATATTGTTAAATGTTTTTAGGCGTGAGGAGTTGGACAAGTCTGATCATGCCTCTGAAAACACAGGTAAGCTTCTTTCTCAACACTCCAGTATTTATTTTGAAGTCATAACATACATATAAACACACAATATCCATGGCTGATTATAATAATGCCAATCTCTGCTTATAGAAGGTCCTTCCAAGCTCCTCTCCTGCTCGCATTGCCCGTTCACTAACTCTAAAGAGGAAAACCTTAGGGAGCATGTAAAGAAAGTCCATTCCACTGAGGTTACGGAAACCGAGACCGCCGCTGATCCCAGTTTGTCCTGTAAATGTGATGTCTGTGGCCGAAGCTACCGATTCTCTTTCTTATTGAAAGCTCACCAGCGGATTCACTCCAAAAAGCATCCCGTATCTAAACGCAGCAAGAGTTTCTCCCGTTCCCAAGCCGCGCATCAGCATGGACCTGCTCCTGAAACATCATCGCAAGATGATGCTGAGGAAAACACTCGACAAAAGAGCTACAGCTGTCTCTACTGCAGAGAAACCTTCAGCTCACTCAGCGCCAGGAGAAACCATCACAGAACCCATCCCGAAGAAACCTTGAATCAATGCACCGCCTGCGGGAAGAAGCTCAGCAGTCAAGCGGCTCTTAAAAGACACAAGCAAATCCACGAAGAGAAGCAATCCTATAATTGCTCCAAATGCAAGTCCACCTTCATCTGCTCGACCTCTTACAAACAGCACATGTTGACGCACGAGTCCGAAAGACCCTTCGTTTGTACCTGTGGAAAGGGTTTTAAATATCGCGGTGCTCTTTCGGCCCATAAACGCACTCATACTGAAGATAGACCATACCGTTGTTTAGACTGCGGAAAGGGGTTTTTATATCCCGGAGCTTTGACGACGCACCAGAAAAAACACTCTAAAGGTAACCCAGAGCATTGCACACAGTGTCACTCCAGTACGGAAAAGTGTGTTTGCTCCCAATCGCAAGCGGAGAAGTCTTTCAAATGCCCCACATGCGATAAGTTGTTCGCGTTCAAGTCCAGCTTAATCCGGCACAAACTCACACACACCGGAGAAAGACCGTTCCTTTGCTCAGACTGCGGGAAGGGCTTTTTAACTTTTGGTGAGCTGCTGAAGCACCAGCGCTACCACACGGGGCACAAACCGTTCCAGTGCACCGACTGTGAAAAGAGCTTTACGCAGGCCTGCTACCTGCAGGTCCACATGAGGCAGCACACCGGCGTACGGCCCTATTCCTGTTCCCAATGCGACAAGAGTTTCTACAGTTCGTCCCATCTCAAGAGGCACCTGCGGATTCATTCGGGGGAAAAGCCCTTCGAGTGCTTGGATTGCGGGAAGAGATTTCCGCAGCCGTATCATCTGAAAGTGCACTTCCAGACTCACATGCAAAAGAAACCCGAAAGCAAGAAATCCAATGAATAGTTCACCAAAAATACTAAAATAATTGTTGTTTATTTACTCAGCCTCAGGCCATGTAGGATGTGCTTGTCTTTTTTGTGTGTTTCTAAGAAAACTGAAGGAGATTTTCAGTGATTTTACTTTAATTTCACCATTTTTAATCAATTCAGCATATCCCTGGATCTGGAAAAAGCACTTTTAGCTTAGCTTAGCACAAATCATTGAATCAAATCAGACCATTAGCATCTCATTAAACCTTTTGAGGAGTTTCGACCTAGAAAATAAAAAAAAATTTCTTAGTGCACGATGTAACTACAGAAGAGTTAAGATTTAAATAGGAAAATTCTTCTTTTTTAATTTTTTTTTAATTAAATTAGATGCTAACGGTCTATTCTGATTCAATGATTTATGCTAAGCTAAGCTAAACTAAAACTGCTAGACCCAGAGATTGGGTGAATGGATAAAAAAATGGTAAAACTCAATTGTTTAACTCGAAGAGAGTTGTAAAATGAGCTTATTTGCAAAAAAAAGAGGAGTGTTCCTTTAAGACACAGGTGTCAAATCCAGTTCCCTGGAGGGCCGCAGCTCTGCACAGTTTAGTTCCAACCCAACTCCAGCATACTTACCTGTAGGTTTCAAACAAAACTGAAGGACTCAATTGGTTTGATCAGGTGTGTTTAATTAGAGTTGAAACTAAACTCTGCAGAGCTGTGGCCATCCAGGAGCTGGAGTTGACACCTGTGCTTTAAGACCTCTCTGTATTACCAGGATACTTGTGTATTACCCTTGTTTTGCTGTATTTTTTTTCTACTCTTGAATTGATATTTACTTGCATTTTATGCTTCGTCAAGGAACATGGTTCCTTATTTAATGTTCTGCTAAAGAAACTGCACATTTACATCTTGTATGGCCTGTGTGAGAGCAAACTATCAACAAAAAGTTATGGGGATTTGTATATAGAGTATTTTAACACATATTATAAAAAGTGTAACGCACTTTGAGCATTTCTTTTCCTTATTTGTTCCCAAACAAATAGGAGCTTAAGTTGCGTAGTTTTGTTTTAAAGTGTAGTCTATAGGTCTTTGTCAGATATTATTTTTTAATATTTCATAAGTGAAAAATTAGGCATTTAAGTTAACTTCATGAAAAAAATGTGTTCGTTGTTTAATCACGACTAAGGTCAATAAAAAAAGTTTCATTGATTTGAAAGCTTAAAGTATAATAATAATAATAATAATAATAATAATGATAATAAAAGCTTGGAAGGCAAAAAAAAAAAGCTAATAGTCTCCAAAGGATTGTGGATGTCGGTTGTGTCAGAAATCATAGCAGCCAGTGAATTTCTGTATGTGAGGTTGCGTATGTGATGATATTTCGAGGTATATGTAAATAAATGTCAGGTGTCATGTGTATTCCTAAAGGATGTCATAATGGTAATCTGGTATATGTTTCATTTGTAGGATTTAGTGCCTTTTGTGTCTCCAGTTAACACAGTTTCGTCTTTGACATCAAGCATATATTCATAAATGTATATATATTCATAAACTTGCACAAAAATATGAATAATTTGGTATCGGTGAATAATTGTTGTTTCAGTAATGCTTTAAAGAAAATCTTTTATGCATTATCTAAAAAAAAATTATATTCATTCCTTTATATCTAACAGTACAGAACATTTTAGTTTCTCCTTCTCATTGCAATCAGCTCCTAATTATTTGCATCTATATATCTAAGCTTGACCAAAATTACTTTTATTATCATTTTTGATGTTTTACATCTTCCTGATGAGACCTGTTAGAGCTTATACAGTTTTTATACTTTATATGTTTTGATTCTGCTGTTGTTAAAGACCAATTTTCACGACAATAAAGTAAATAAAAACAATTTAAGTGTACGTTTAAGTTATTATGTCTATTTCAGTGGCTCAGTGGTTAGCACTGTCGCCTCACAGCAAGAAGGTTGCTGTTTCGAGTTCGAGTTAGTGTTTCTGTGTGGATTTTGTATGTTCTCCCAGTGTTGGCGTGGGTTTCTTCCAGGTGCTTCAGTTCAAAGACATGCACTGTAGGTGAATTAAACTAAAATGGCTGTAATGTATGTGTGTGTAAATGTGTGAATGTATAGGTGTTTCCCAGTTCTGGGTTGCGAATGGAGGGGCATCCAAGCCAAAGGAAAGTGAATGAACGAATGAATGAATCTCGACTATGTTATCTGCACTGCCGGTGCCATCCACTAGGTGACACCAGCACAATGTCATTCACAAATGTTCCACATGCTTCAAATGTTGTTTGTTGTTCCCGTGTTTTTCAGCAATGCCAGCACCTCTCAATAACAGATACAAGCAGAAGGAATCTGGTATGATTTGTTTTAATAGTAATCTGGTTGTCTCTTAAAACACTTGCTAAATAAGAGCATACTCAAAACCATACTGACTCACTAAATCTAATTAGGATGTAAAACATACTTTTAAGTCAGTCTGCGAGCAAAGAAGCATGACTGAAACTGAATGTAATCAATGTCATATTGAAGTTTATTGGGTTTATGCTCGTACATTCTCCTGAATATAATCTCAGAAAAGTATTCTTTGTAAATTCTAAATGGGGAAATCATATTAGCAGCTAATTTCAAAGTACATTATTCTCAATTAAAATTTGTTTTGACGCCAATATTCAAATTAGCGCGGTAAACACCGTGTCACAAGTTGTCACTGTTCAAAAATAAACAAATGTGCGAATGTAAACCCAATTTTACCACAATCATTTTCATCTAGACTGCTGTACAAATGTATGATTAGAAGAATGCCGCATTGTTTTAATAATCATATAGCAATCGATCTAATACAATAAATAATTTAGTTTGCTTTTCTTGTTAGTTTAATGCTGTTTATTTGTCCTGATAAAATGTTTGATTCTTTATTTTTCATTAAATAATAAGGTAATTTATATTTACAGTTTAATGTGACGTCCCAATTTTCTTGTAATCCCAGGGTTTGAATACCTCTTATTTAGAAAATTAGCTAACATAGTTGTTTTTTTAACTTACAGTATAACCTCAAAGACTCCACTTAGTATGCAATGCAGCACTTCTCATGAATTTCATGTTATAATTTTCAATATAGTCATGAAGGTGTTCCTGTGTAGCTGCTATAGTCTTTTGGATGGTAGCTACAGTGTTTCTGTGCTGTTGCTAGGACGTTAAATAGGGTTGCTAGAGTGGTACACTACTGACTTCCAGTAGTTTCTGTTTTTAAACAGGAATGAATCCCCATCACACAGATTAAACTCTTCCTTGAAGCTGAAAACATTGAAATAATGCAATGGCCTGCCCAGAGTCCTGAGCCAAACCTGATCTTAACACTTCCTTCCCCTTTCCTTATTTTGATCACTGTTTTTTACTTGCATGGTAGAACCACAACTAAAATTCTTTAACATTTTGAATTATAAAAATTTACAATGATTATTTCCAAGCGTATGTTGTTATTAATTAGGTGAACAATTAATTCGCTTAGGTTAATCCACTGAAAAATCTTTTTTTTATTAAAGTGTGTTCCCCCCCGTTCTTCTGATAATGTCAGTTTAACACATTATTTTACAATATTTTAGAATACCGGGTCGTTTCAAATGGTGACATGTTATGATTTTATTGGTTTTATAAATGCATATGTCTTGACTAGGACTCCCTGGTAGGAGAGATATTGTATCTCAATGGGACGTTCCTAGTTTAATAAGTAAACAAACAATAAATAGAATTAGCTATCGTTGTTTTTCAAAATAATCTTTCCCTCCAGCAAACTGTTATCTGATGTAACTGGATTAAAACCGAATCGTCCAAGTATGATGTTTAAGTCAATTTATTAAGTGCATATAAAGACCAATATTTTTTTATTAAATGATCATACTACTGACTGAAACCCTTGATATTTCACAATGTTCCTCATCAGCTAATGTGGCCTTTGTAGTCATATTTGAACATGCTAATGCATTGTGTTTCACCGACTGCTCTTGCGTCATTTTTCAAGTTTAAAAGCTTCATTCCCCCTCCAGTTTCTCTCTTCCATTTGGTCTCTCCAGCAAGATGCAAGCTGTCATTAATGGACTCCAAAAAGCCAGATTCTTTTCCTCACAGGGAAACATAAAATCAATAGCGCTATATTAGAACACAAAGCAGAAAAGGGCAGATACTTGTGGGTGGTTGTTTGGAGTGGCTTGGTCCATTCGGTGGGTAAGTGTTTCCAGCTGGGACGGGAGAGGCCGGCACTGCCCAGCTGCTGCGCACTGACCTTCCATTTACAGCAGGAGCCCTTTACTAATGCAACGCACTAAGATCCATATGGTTTATAAATACGGAGCTCGCAAGAGGGAATTTTGCATCAGCTTGCACACTGTAAATAAGATTTTTCTTGCTCAGCCTTGTTTTGCATGAAGATGCGTTCACTTAAGAGGCAGGGTGCTGCTTTCTGCCAAAAATGATCCACGTTTAGAACACTTTTAAAGTGAGATCTCCATTTCAGAACTGAACTGGGATCTTTCTTGATGTGCGAATCTGGACCATCTGATCATTACTGATGAAAGCAATTTTTTCTTGTAAAGCAAGCCCAATGGGAAATTATGTTTGTCCTCAACCTGGGGCAAGACTGGACCCAAAGTGTATGTAGAAGTCAGTAAAGTGGAGGTTAAGTGACGTGGTTTGGTGTCGGTTTCTGTAGCATGAGATGGGCTCTTATACAGAAACATGACAATGAATCCAAATGTTTTTGTTTTTTGAGAAGTTACGTCAGCAACAATATTTTTCATCCAGCACTTTTCACACAGGACAAGAAACCCCCTGTCACACAGGTTAAACTCTTCCTTAAAGCTGAAAACATTGAAATAATGAAATGGCCTGCCCAGAGTCCTGAGCCAAACCTGAGCTGAAAACTTCCTACCCATTTCCTAATTTTGATCACTGTTTTTTACTTGCATGGTAGAACCACAACTAAAATTCTTTACAATTTTGAATGATCAAAATTAACTATGCTTATTTCCTAGCGTATGTTGTTATTATTTTGGTGAACAATTAATTTGTTCAGGTTAATCCACTGTAAAAGCTTTTTTTTTTTATTAAAGCATGATTTTTTTTGCAGCCTTCTGTTAATGTCAGTTTGATAGCTTCAGCCACAATATTTTAGAATACAGGTTGGGTTCAAATGGTGCTGCTATTCGATTGCTATGGATTATTTCTAAGATGTTCCTATGAGGTCGTTAAGCGTCTCTGTGTGGGCATTAAGGTGTTCCTGTGTAGCTGTTATGGTCTTTTAGATGGTAGCTACATTGTTTCTGTGCTGTTGTTAGGACATTAAATGGGGTTGCTAGAGTGTTGAACTATTGACTTCCATTAGT